ACTAAAGGTCCAGACCATATGTGGAATCTGGTGACCACTTTATACTTTTTTTCAGTTGGCTTCCTATAGCATCTCTAGCCCCATCGTAACTTAGATGAATTATGAGAATTTTATGAGAACACGACTTACCCACACTGCGTTATATTTTATTTGAACATGCTGAAACATTTTTCCCTGTTAAAAACTTTATTTTCACCAAATTCATGATGCTTTTCCTCGTAAAGTACTGTTTTTTCTAGCTGCATCTTTCCATCCAATACTAATAATAGTTAACACTGTCCTAATTCTTAAATCCTCATAAAACTCTTTGCAGAAAATACTATTATGATTCCCACTTTACATATAAGGATACCAAGGCACAGAGTCATTATGAAACTTGCCCAGGTTCATTAAGCTATTAAGTAAAAGAGGTGAGATTCTAAACCAGGAGCTATGGCTCGAGTCCAGGCATTCAACTTTTTTTTTTTTTTTTTGCCTTGGACCATTCTGCAGTCAGATGAAGGCTGCAAATTCCTTGTCAGTTTAATATTTTTAAATATATGAAATAAATTGCAAATGATTACAAAAGAGACCAATTACATTGGGGACAAAAAATCCAACTATGTGATATAGTAATATATATGCTTCTTAATCTAGTGGTAGATATCCTATCTACTGTAATTTCTATGTAATGATGAACACAGAAAATATTCTGAGATATCTACAATAACCACAGCATATTATAATATCTGTAATTTGTACAAGTAGTAAAATCACAGGTACTGTTAATAGTACCATAGTTTGCTGTTCAGATTAAAAGAAATGGTGACTTCCAGTTAGAGGTTAGTGAGAAGATAATTTCATACCTAAGTTTATGGATGCCATCCACGTTAACACTGCCCACTGTAACAATCCTGTTAACACTGCAGTTTAAAAGGACCAATGGGGGCGATGAGCGGTCATTCTTTCTACACTGGATCCTTTAGTGATCTCATCCAGTCTCGTGGCTTTGAATACTACCTAAGTTGATGACTACAAAGTTTATCTCTAGTTCAGACCTTTCCCCTAAATTCCAGACTTGGGTATCAATTCAATCCAAATGTCTGAAAAGCATCTCAAACTTATCATGTCTAAAACTGAACTCCTAATCTTTCCCCCAAACTTGCTCTCCTAACAGTCATCCCTATCTTAGTTGATGACAATTCTATCTTTCCAACTGCTCAGACCAAAAACCTCAGAATCATCCTTGGCTCCTCTCTCATATGCCACATCTGATCTACCAACAAATCATATTCATATGAGCTTCAAAATATTCATTCAGAAGTCAACTATTTCTCACCATCTCCTGTCACCACCTTGGTACAAGTCACAAGCATTTCTCTCCTAGATTTCTAGCTTCCTTACATACAAGTCTCCCTCTTTCTTCAGTTGTTCCCCCTGCAAAGAGTGATCCTTCTGAAGCTGAAAGCAGACCATGCCACTCCTTGTTTGAAAACTCCAGGCAAAGTCCTTATAAAGGCCCTACAAAGTTCTCTGAAATCTGCACCCTACTTCAACATAATTTACTATTTGTTGTTCATCCCATTCTAACCAAACTGAGAACTCACTGGGTCTGTCCCAGTGCCCTGGAACTAACTATTCCCTCTACTTAGAATGTTTTCTTTCCAGATATTAACACTGCTAACTCCCTTCCTTTTAAGTCTCTGCCTAAATATCACTCTCAAGAAGGCTCACCCAGTCCACCTCATTTTAAATTTCAACATCCACCCTAGAAATTCTGGATCCCCGTTACCGTGTTCCATTTTCCAAAGCACTTACCTTTAAACAGTCTGTATTATTTATTATGACTCCTCACTAGGAGGGGTGCCCACAAGGGCAAAATTGTTTTGTACACCACTCACCCCTAGTGTGCCTGTTTAACACAAAATAAACACGTGTATGTTAAAAGAACAGCACTTCTATCACTGTAAAGTACTTGCCTGTGTCTTTCATTAGAAGAATTCCTTGAAGACTCTGACTAATTTGCAGTATCCTCAACACCAGTCCCTGGGCCTGCCCAACAGCATAGATACTCAGGTGATTATAGCGATTTTCACCTGAAAACACAATCCTATATGCCACAGAAAAAAAAAAGCCAGGTCTTACAGCTGTGTCTGATTAAATGGGTAGAAAGACAACACAGAACATCAGGTTCCAACTGTTACTTCAAACTGAATTTAAGTTTTGTGCCTCATTTCTCTACCTATCTAAAAAACATTTCAAACTATCTAAAGTCTAAGAAGGGCACTTGGTCATTCCTTCCCCCAGCCATGTCATCACCTCACAGGCCTACCTAATCTTTCCATGATTGACTTAAAATCCTACCTTTGAAATTTTCCTTAATGACCCCAGCTAAAAGCACTTACATGGTGCCATATTCTGTGCCAAGTGCTTATAAAACATTCTCATAAAGTTTCTTCCATTATGACACCTATTTCAAAGATGAGAAAACCCAAACTTAGATAAAGTCACTTGTTCAAGGCTTAACTAGTGTTCAGATCCAGGTCTGTCTGACTCTGAAATCCAAGTTCTTTAACACTATACCACTCTGCTCTTCTCTCTCTGCAGTGGCATAAGCTCTAACTAGCTTATATGCACTATTTCATAGGGGTTTGCTGTTATTTGACTTCTCTAGGCTTCAATTCCCACATCTGTAAAACATTTGATAATTCTTTGTGTACTCCATGTAGGTTAATACACACACTTATTTCAGCACTTAGTCACTATTAGAAATCGAAAGCAGTGAAGACCTAAAAGCAGTGAAAATAAAAACTCCAAGACCTTGCATAAAACAATAAAACGTACTTGATTCCTCACCACACTCATATCCACCAAAGATACAACTTCTGAGTCCATTTCCCCACACAGTATGAAAAATTATGTTTTCCTCCAAGAAGTGTAAGAATGTGATCTTTAAAGCTTCTGGACTTCACCAAACAACCCGGTGAAAGGAACTGAAAGCAGGTACTTAGCCCATTCGGGAGCTAGCATCTTATTTTGTACAGCACAAATACTCAATAAGTGTTTATTGGATCATGATACAGATTTTTTTTTTTTGAGGTTTTCCAAGTCTCAAACCAAAAGCCTACAAACACAAGCCTTGTAACTGGACTGATGCTTGTGCAGTAAATCAAAGCAATCTAATAACAGTAATGTTACACTATAAGCAAGAAACTGTGGAAAGATAAAGCCATATTGAGACAACTTACTAGTGCAAGTAAGACATGGGTTTTGTTTCAGAAAGGCAGAATCATTTTTCTTTTTGTGCAGAGATAACCATCAACAGAATCCTTCTGTGTGGAAACTGAACCTGAGAATTATCAAGTAAGATCCAGTCATTTTTGGACCAAGGTGAAAAGACTTGGCAAAGGGTTCAAAAAAAGTCATAGCAGAACTAAGGTAAATGTATCAAAAGAGCAAATCTCTCGGAATCGTTCTGGTCATAAAAGTGACAGTTTCATTTGGAATCCCTATCAACGGTTAAGTTTGAAATGAGTCGTATATTCTTAGGTCTAGACTTCCACCACCAACAGCAAATGGAGTTTAAAGATAGCTTTTTGAAACAATATAGTCTTGTGAAGACGTAGAGAAACAAGTGAATCCAGGCTCTGAAGTGGAAGCTCTCCTGAGATATCAGATACAGTAGCAGACACAGCCCTCAACAGAAATGTAAAAATGTCCTAGGCTGAAGACACACTATTGGGCAAAACGGTATTCTGGTTTTCTAGAACACTGTTCAGAGACTCCTCAAACGATTCTTGCTTTTTAACAAAGTCTTCACAAGGAGTAGAAAGTCATCCATTTAGAGTAAGAGGTTCCTTTTACCAAGAAAGTAGAGTATCCGAGAAAGTGTGCAAATCTCATAATCTGGTAGAGAATGTATGGCCCTCTGGAGGCTTTCATTTTCGGGTGGAAAAACAAACCCGATGTCACCTCAACATCGGGGCCACTCAAACCTCGCCACCATTACAAAAACCGAAGTGCCAAAGGTGCAGAATACGAAGCCGGAAGCACTACCAGGCCAGGATCGCGTTCCAGGAGAAAAAAAATCAAAACCGAGAGTGCAGCGCGGGCCCCTCAGCGGCCCTGAGCCGAGCGACGCGCGCTAGGCCCTTCCGGTCAGAGCCGCCGTCGCCGGGAGGCCAAGCGACGGGCCGGGCTTCCACCCGAGCCCGGGG